TGTACACACAATGCATGCAATGCATGCAACGAAACTAGAAAGCTGATATTATTCTACTAAGTTTTTCAGTAGTCTAGTGCTACTCTGTGATTTACAGATACCTATCATACTAATCCCCTGTGACGCAGGTCGCAGAGCATGTGTGCCAATGGTTGTGTGTTGAGATGTTGATAATGTAAATAACAGTAACAAAATTAATCAAATTTAGTGTATCAAGATGGCTGCTCCATCCAATGGTACTGGAAATCTTGTAGACGAGTTTGAAGAGTCATTTCAGGTATACATTTGATAATAATTTAAATAAAATATGAGATTTAATTGTTTAGTATATGGTATTTTTTAACCTTCTTTCTGATCCGGTATCTGTCAAACTGGAAGTACCAACATAAGAAAGTAAATCCGTGTCTTGTTAAAATTAGCTTGAAGCTTCATAGGGTAAATTTTGACGTTTTTTTATAAAACAGTCCATATGAATGGTCTACGTGACCTACTTTTACTTATGCGGCTTCAACCAATTTATAGTGATTTTTGTTGCAAGCGTATCGAGTCGGCCATTTTACTAATCATTGATGTTTTTACTGTAAATGAAGCTCTTAATAAGTAAATATAAAACTTAGAATGAAACATATAGAAGATAATCAAACAATTGAACGTCGATCAATAAATTATGGCTGCTAATATATAAGTGAAAAGTGCGGTTACTAAGTGACGAAATATTGTGATTGACTGTGATCGTGTTGATATTTGACAATGTCTGGTGGAGATGAGTTCTGTTCGTCAGGGACAGGTGTTAACATCCAAGTGTTTCGGCCCACTTGGGATGAATTCAAAGATTTTAACAAATACATACAGTATATGGAATCGAAAGGTGCAAATAAAGCTGGTCTTGCTAAAGTTATTCCTCCACCAGAGTGGGTTCCCAGGCGAAATGGTTATGACTTAGAAGACCTGAACATCACGATTCCGTCACCAATTTGTCAGGTTGTTACTGGAAAGCAAGGTTTATTTCAACAAATTAATATTCAAAAGAAATCAATGACAGTGAAACAGTTCTCTGTACTTGCGAACTCTGCGAAATACTGTACACCACGACACACTAGTTTTGAGGACTTAGAACGAAAGTATTGGAAGAATGTCACCTATGTAGCACCAATTTATGGCGCAGATGTGAATGGAAGCATTACAGACCCTGATGTTAATGAATGGAACATCAACCGCTTAGGTACTATCTTGGACTTTGTTAACTCTGATTATGGTATCGAAATAGATGGTGTGAATACGGCATATCTCTATTTTGGTATGTGGAAGACAACATTTGCTTGGCATACAGAAGATATGGATTTGTATTCAATTAATTATTTGCACTTTGGTGATCCTAAAACTTGGTATGCAGTGCCTCCTGAACATGGAAAAAGGTTTGAACGAATAGCTGCTGGTTTCTTTCCGACTTCAGCCAAAACATGCCAAGCGTTTTTAAGGCACAAGATGACTTTAATCTCACCTCAAATCTTAAAGCAATATTCTGTACCGGTTAACAAAATAACTCAAGAGGCAGGTGAAATTATGATAACATTTCCCTATGGATATCATGCTGGGTTTAACCATGGTTTTAACTGTGCTGAGTCAACAAACTTTGCAGCACCAAGGTGGGTTGAATATGGAAAGCGAGCCACTCAGTGCACGTGCAGCAATGACATGGTAAAAATTTCTATGGATACATTTGTGAAACGATTCCAACCTGACCGCTATGAGTTATGGCTTAAAGGGCAAGATGTTGGCTGCCACCCTGAACAACCAGAAAAAATGGTTCCTGCTCCACATCCATCGGGTCAAGATATTCTTTGTAATAAAAATAATACAGAACTCCCACAAACATTTATTGAAGCTGAAGAAGAAGGGTTGAAAAAGAAGAAAAGACATCCACTACACTTAAAACGTGCCATGGCAAGTAAAAGCATTTCTGAAGGGGCGATTGCAGTGTCAATATTGGGTCATGATGTCATGGATGATGATGAAATGGCTATGGCGGAAGGAGATCTAGACATGATGACATCGATGAAAAAACCTATGATGCCCATAGAGCCAGGAGACCCACAGTTAGATGCTCTAGAAGATATATGGTTGAAGGGAGACGAGATGGACCCTTCAGAAGCACAGTTGCCAGATGTTGGTTACATGGATTCCGATAAAGACTCAGACTATGAAGTACGTAAGTCGAAAAAGCCCACTAAAGTCAGAAAACCTAGGAAGGACAGTGTTAAAAGAGAGAAAAAAGAGGTAGATGAAATAGACAAGCCAAAAACTACACCCAAAAAAAGGCAGGTTAAATCGAAAAAATTGTCAAACAAAGAGCTTGAAGACATGTCAGATGTAATTTCAAATTGGGACTTACCACATCACAACATGGGAACTGAAACAGTAGTCAGTCAAGCAGATCCATTAAGTAACATAACTGAGACAACTACAGAGGCTAAATGTAACACAACACCACAGACAGACATCACTAATGAACCTAAAAAGAAAAAACCAGGTAGAAAACCTAAAAACCCTAGTCAAGACACACCGAAAAAAGATATTATTAAAAAAGAACAGACTAAGCGCACACCTAGGCCAAAGAAAGAAAAGCTTGAAGGGGACAAAAAGTTACGCAAACCGAGAAAACAAAAGGCTCCAAAATGCAATCCAGACTTTGAGTATCATTCACCTCTGCAGCCTGTTATTTCCAGACAGAATAAAATTTATAACGAACAGTCTCCAAAACATCATAAAAAGCCGCCTGGTTGTCCTAAAGTATATCCAGGACTTGCCGACCCAAATTCACGAGTACCTTCAGTATTGCCACCTATAAATAAGAATCCTAGTGCTTTTGAAAGTGAATTTCACAAATTCATGACAAAAAATCAGAACGAATTAACGCCTATATACCATAAGAAATCCCCACCAAAAACTAAGAGAACTGAAACTAAACCAGTAAAGGAAGCTATACCCCAGAGGACAGACTTTCCACTACCAATTGGGCAGTATAACGATAATATTTTCCTAGACACACCCATAGATTATAGAATGTATCAAACACATGGTATGCCTCCACCGCAGATGACAAACCCCTCACAAGATAGGAAAGCATGGAGAGGAGATTATTATTCAAACTCTTATAATTTTAATAACCCTTATGATTCCATGAATCACCCGTTCTACAGAAGTCCGTACCAAACGCCATGGTATAATTATCAAAAATAGGCAATATTTTATCTATTTTGTTGTATGTTTCTCTAAATATGATTTTATGTATAAGTAATAAATAGTCTAAGATATAATTTTGATTATTATTTCACCTCTCACATTTAGCGGAACATACAATTGATAAATCAAAACAATATTGAAAATTAACTGAATTGTTTTGGATCCTGTAGTCTAGTACAAATTAATAAATTTTATACTTATTATTTGCATGTAGATCTCACTATTAAAACTAATTGTGAAATTATAGATTTTAAATAATTATTTAATATTAAATTAGTAAATTTAATGTAAGATTAACAATAAAGGCTGAATTCACAATTAAATAGAGAACTAAATTTGTTTTAATTTCATTTTAAAGTTATTCAAATATATCAGAAGACAAGTTAGGGAGCGTTCAAGTATTACGAAACGAGTTTTTTTGTCCTTTTGTAAAACGTTACGATGCGGGGCGGGGATTGAATTACGCGTTATTGTTAATATTATTTTCGACTTAACCACATAATAGTAACTAAAGAGACACAAGGTGGTCACGAAACGTTTTACTATGCTTGAGTACTGTACTGAAAAACGTTACGGCGAGTAAATGGGGGGGTCAATAATCTTCAAAAATTGCGTTACGTTATACTTGAACGGTCCCTTAGGAGTGTTTTGTTAGGTCAAACAATTCATCATAATTAGGAATTGAAGACAAAATATTTGACAAAAATATGATTAAACTGAAAATAAAATTTCGTCTCCATTTATAATTTTATTAAATCATTAAGAAAATCTTTAATTGATTTAATTATTACAATATTTAAATTATTTAATCAGTTATCTCCACACTTGTTTGCTCATAAAAAAAGGCGGTCTAATAAGTTATTGCAATTGATGTCTAGTCAGAGATGCCAGATTAGATAACCCAACCAAAATATTTTATGCTATTCCGGTGGTTAGGCGGACGAGACCAAGCATTAGTTCCTTTGTTGTGATGTTAGCCATTTAAGTTGACTGATTTTAATGATTTTTTATTTATTTAGTTGTGCAAATTTGTAATGATAAAAATAATGAGTTTAGAAAGATTTCGCTTATTTTCAGTTTTAATACGGTCTAATAGAACACTTACTAATATTTGAAGAGTTTCAAGAATCCTTATTTCTTCTTGTGGTAAATTAAAAATTAAAATGTTCTTTTTAATTTTTTAATAAGTGTCATTTTCTGTTAAAATAAGAGTGTAAATAAAAATGTGTCCACCGCTCAAGATTTTTATTTTCTACAATGTCAAGGCTTAATGCATACATATTTTACGTCGAAGTAAGAAGTAGACATGGGGAGAAATTGGCTGTGCCAAAAATCAATCTGGAACTGTTTAGGAAAAACACTTTTTGTATGGCAATCAAGGTTTACAATAATTTACCAAAAGAATTAAAAGATCTTCCGACTTGAGTTTTGAAAAATCGACTTGGTGTACTATTTGAAATAATGTATATTTAATAAATGATTATTTGCGTGAGACACTGTAGTTGATATAAATTTAATAACGTATGATATGATATGTACGATAGAAATAATATAAGAATTGACTTTGACTAATAATGTATAATTCTTTAAGACAAATTTGCGCGCCATTGTGTGTGGCAGAATATGCGAAGTTACAATTGTACCACCTTACATATTTTTGTACCATATTCTTGCAATTTAATTATTAGTACTCTCATGAATGATATTGGTAAATTGGTTAGCAAGAGGTCTCCAGCAGTGAAGCCGACTCCTCCAGAATGTTACCCCTAGCACCACCTTCAAAAACCCCTAATGTTTGTTGTACACTCGGTTTGAAAGGTTACATTAAAAATACATTCAAATCGCTGTTATTTTGATCTTGGAGTATTATAGGTTTGGGAGCGTTCAAGAATTATGTAACTTTTTTTTAAATTTTAGAGGGGTGGGGGGATAAAACGATGTGGTGCGGGGATTGTATTACGCGTTATTGGTAATATATGGGAGGTTATACATATACAAGAATATTCCAAAATTGCGTGACGTAATACTTGAACGCTCCCTTTTTCATATTTCACGAATTATGTTTGGTGGCGGTTTTTATATGGATATGTTCAAATAAAACTCTTTGTTTGAAGCTGGGTAACAACTGACTTTAATGGTTTATTACAATATGACTAACATAAAATTAGGGGTTGCGACGCTAAAAAAACTGACTTGACTCATTGAAGGGTTCTTAAATCTAAGTGACACTTCTGTATACCTACAAAGAATATAATAGTATCGCGTATATACGCTCCGAATAGCAGAAGAAGTAATAAAATATCGGATAAGTTATCGAATAACAATAAATAAATTAATTAATTTTACGAATACATAGGTACAGCATATGGTGCCATCTGTTGACAAAACTACTCATCATTTTACATTGAATTCGTGTCCGTTCAAGAAATTCCGATCTTGAGGTGATTGAGGAGATGCATAACCAGGCTTTGATCTTGATCGAAGACATGTGTTACCTCATCAAAAAATGTTGTATATCAGAAAGTGCTGTAACATGCAGTATCGCAATATTGGCGCCAGAGAGAAGAGGCCTTTCGCAATGGCAAGCAATAAAACATTTCTGTATTTGCAAAAAAAGTTTTATTAATGTTATTACCTTAATGAAATCCTATATTAAGTTTAACTAAAGTTAACACGATATTATTAGACTGTTAGGCGGAACCAAGTTAGCCGGGTCAGTTGGTAAATAATTACCTAAATCTAATTGAATACAACATGTATTACTGGTGAGATACATTGTGTTTCCATAAATTGTTGTATCTATCTACATCTGATATTCCATTATTATATTGTACACTTATTCATTCAATGCATAAATAACTTTGTAATGTATGTACATTTTATTTTTTACCATTCACACCAATTGACCTAGTCCCTTGCTAAGCTGGTGAAGCTTGTGTTATGGGTACTAGGCAACAGATATACATACATATTATAGATAGATAGAGATATAAATACATATTTAAACGCCCAAGACCTAAGCACAACACCAAATGCTCATCACAACGATGTTCGTCTCAGCCGGGGATCTAACCCGGGACCCATGGATTCGCAGTCAGGGGTACTAACCACTAGACCAATGAGTCGTCAATGTATGTATATGTATTTATAAAATCAGACCGAAATTGCAAAATATCTTAGCTTTTCCTCGATTTATACATTAAACATTAATTGTATTCTAATTTTGAAGCTTTAATAAATGAATTATTTGAATATCCTTCCAACCACCGCCACCGAACTTCACTTGGGACATGTTTTTGATGGCATTAGCGAAACAAGGCGTTTTTTGATGTTTTTTATAAATATAATGCTGAGTTTTTAAGGTGGTATTGTTAGTAGAAAAAAAAGGGTGCGTGTACTTAGGTATGTACGCGTGTAAGAAGTTATACTTCTTTGGCATTATTAAAAAAACAAAAAAAATTAAAGATTCGTAGATTATTAAAAATAGTTTTTGATTGCATGCAAATAATTAATTACAATTAAATAATCAAAGACTGGAAAAGGAGTCATTATAGTCAATAAAGTTCAGTTTAGATTTTAAAAATTAAATAAATAAATATTTATTATTATTCTCTTACATTAAGTGTAACAAAAATGCTATTATTATTCGAATTTTGTTTTTAAATTATGTCCAATGCCGTAGCATCTTCCGTGGGCAACTTCATTCTGTTAATTTTGTGTAACGGTGCGCGCGCATCGTAAAATTTCACTCTCATCAATTTTTCATAACGCGCCTAAAGAAGTATAACTTCAAAAACAAAATAATAATTATTTCAGCATTGCCTGAACGTGTTTACGAAGCAGGAAGCGTCAACATGTGTGGAGAAGGAGGAAGTCAAGGTCGAAGTTGAAAGGTTCATTGACCTGGCGAGGCAGATGGAAGCCTCCTTCTTACAGAAAAGGTAGGGGATCGATAGTAATAGCCCTGGGTCTCCCAAGGATCCATGACATTCATCTGGGACTACCCAAAGTTTGACCAGTTAACCCACGAATAGAGAGCGTTCAAGTTATGTAACAATTTTTTCCCCCTCTTGAAAAACGTTACGATGCTGCGATTGATACTATTTTTACGGCGGAGATTAATAATAATAAAAACTTTATTTATGACTAAAGGGTTGTGACAGAATTCATATATCGCTTGTCCCCACACTAGGGAGGCCCTGTGCTGTGGGTAACTAGAAAACAACTATTACGTGGTACATGTTTAAAACAGTAAAAAAAAAAGATAATAATAATTAAATTAAAGAGTGAGTGTGTGAATGGGTGTGTATGCGTATGTTTTTGAGAGTGTACCTCTGTAGATTCTAAATCCAATTTGGCTAGTGTAATTTCTATGTGTCTTGCGAGTTTATATCTATATATACTGCTCAAAACAATTAGCGGAACAAGATTTTTCTCCTTTCTATTGCTTAAACTAAAATTATATTTAAATTAACTTGTACTCTATTTTTTACCTTGTTAATTTGTTAATTACTACAATTAATAAAAAAATTCAATTTGTATTTTTTTATTAAAAAAAATTAAAATGTGCATTGTAGACGAAAAACAAAGTGACGTCTTTGAATTTTCATTACTTTCTAATCACAGAAAACACATTTTATGTAGTTTTTTTCAATCTTTTGAGTATTGATAGAAATTGAAGTGAGCCTTTTGAGTATTGTTATTCATTGAAGCGAGTGAGTTTAGGTCATAATGCCAGATCTGACTGAATTGCATGTCTCCCGAGCTATCGCTTTGCTTGAAGAGGGTCGAACTATGCGTTATGTAGGAAATGATCTAGGAGTAGCCCCTTCTGTTATCTACAGACTTTGGAACACTTGAACGAAGCTTTAGTACTGCATCTTCATGTAATACGTTATATATAATATTTTATACGATATTATTTTTGAATTTTAAATTTTTTAGTCCTTTTTTGGGCCTCAGATTTCTGTATTTCACCATGCCTCCAGCTGATAGAGGACAAATCTTTGTTTTATTATTATTAATTACTTAAGATGTGATGTGGAACATGGTGTAATGGTTGCAGCTCCTTACAAAAATTGTGTAAAACAAAAAACTTGGCGATTAAAATGAGTGGCGGAGTTTATTGCCAGTTCTTCTCTTACGTTCTACGCCCTTGATTTGAGAACTGGCACTAAATATAAATTTAGAAGCATTTAATATCGTGTATTTCTTCTTCTTTTTGACGTTCATAAGTTTACAATGTGTTACCTAAATGAATAAATGATTTTGATTTGATTTGTATCTGTTTCATGATCATTTGTCAATCTAATTGTGCATTTTACATCTTCATTGTTTGAGGCACATTTTTTTTTAATTTTACCTAACTTAGCAGTGTTTACCTAGTGGCGTCAGCGTGCGACTCTCATCTGAGGTCGTAGGTTCGATCCCCAGCTGAGCACCGATAGACTTTCTTTCTAGATGAAGGAAAACATCGTCAGGAAACTGGCTTGCCTTAGACCCAATGAGTCGACGATGTGTCAGTTACAGGAGAGTGATCACCTACTTGCCTATTCGATTGACAAATGATCATGAAACAGATACAGAAATCTGAGGTTCAGACCTAAAAAGTTTGTAGCGCCATTGATTTTTTTAAAATCATCAAGTTTCGATTCAAAATGTATGGATTATATAAACTTTATGAATTACCAATTTCCAGGTTCTTACTATCAGCTATGAAGCCGGAACTGCTCGTAAAAGAAGAGAACAACGACTTGAAATGCGAGTTGCAGCGCAAGGACGAGTTGCTCAGACGTCACTATGACAAGATCAGCCAGTGGCATAATCTGTTAGCTGATCTTCAGGTTTGTATTTTAGTCCCACAAACTTATCTGTGAACTGAGTGGTAGCGCCACCGTCGCTTTAGTGTTGCCAATTAATAAAAGTTACCCATGATTGGGTATGTCAGATAAGAAACTAGGTAAACATATAAACATAATTTTATTATTTTAAACATTACCTAACATTGTTTTATAATAATAAAATGGTAATATAAGTACTAAATAGTCTTCAAAAATAAGAAAATGAATGTAGGTAGATACATACATTAGCTTTTTCTCTGGCATTCATTTGATATAATGTAGGTACCCCTCTTACAAACTAAATGTTTAGCAAAGTAGGCAAATGAAATTGAATAACTTGCAAATAAACTTCTTCTTGCCCTTGCCCCACTCTAGGACGTTATATTAAAAAAAAGTGGAGTGGAGAGAATTTACGCTAAGCCAAACGTACCTATGCGGGAGAGCCCCTCAGATTATTCCAGCGTTATTTTTACGTGACGAGAACTGTAGGTAGTTGAATCTCTCAGCTTTATAATTTTTAAGTTACAATTACGTTAAAAAGTATTCAATGAAAAAAATATCGGGTAATTTACAAAAGAATGTTGACAACACTAACCCGTAGCTGCCGAAATTCAACATGGCGGCCGTAGTTCCCATTTTCTCCAATTCACAGATAAGGGAGCGTTCAAGTATTACGTAACGAGTTTTTTTCCTTTTGTAAAACGTTACGATGCGGGGCGGGGATTAAATTACGCGTTATTGTTAATATTATTTTCGACTTACACCACATAATAGTAACTAAAGAGTCACTAGGTGGTCACGAAACGTTTTTAGACTTGGTCAGCTGACTGGGTACTGAAAAACGTTACGGCGAGTTACATTGGGGGGGTCCAAGAATTGCGTTACGTAATACTTGAACGCTCCCTAAGGCAAGCACGGAAAGCAGATCGCCTACTTGCCGATGATATCGTCAAGATATATATATCTCAGGAGTATAATTAATAGCCGCTTAAATTAACCCATATACTGTCCGGAGAATGTGGAATGGGGGAAAGAGTTCCATTCGCTACAATGTCGGAAATCTTTAGGGTCACACAGTATACAACAAGTGTCAACAGCAAACGACACCGCAGCCGATGCAACAAGCCGCCTCTCCGATGCAGCAACCATGCAGCGTGCAGCAAAGCGTGCAGGTACAGTGAATAAGTTTTACAAATTTTCGGAAACTACCCTCATTTTGACTTGAAAAAGACTTTACGCTTTGGCCTATATAGAAAGTTTTATAAATTACCCTCATTTTGACTTAAAAAAGACTTTTCGGTTTGGCCAATATAGTTATGAAGATTTATTTAGGCCTTAGTGCGAAATATTCGTAAGTGTATGTTTGTCCATAAATTTATCGGAAATTATGTCATATTCACGTAATCCTTTGAGATTTAGATTGGAGACACCTTCTCAACATGTCCTTTGCTCAGAAAGTATTTTTCTAGTGCAACAGTAGTTTAATTATAAAATTGTGTTATGTAGAATTAATTACGTCCAGAATCTACAATCATTAATATGTCAAATGGAAGAGACCAGCCCACGACACAGGGAATCCTGTGGGGGGATCCACTTGTTGTAGTGACATAGTTGATATGTAATAAAATATATGAAATATGAGATTATCAGTCAGGTCTGATAACTTCGATTATAATAATGTAATTCTTAGGCCCAGCAAATGGCAGCTGCTGCAGCCGCGCAGCAAGCGGCGCTCCAGCAGCAAGCAATGCAGCAACAACAGGTCAGACCCCCTTTACCGCCCGCGTATCCTAATACCGTCACGAGGCGGTAACAAACAATAGAAACTGACAAAGATATACCTATCTCTCTCTAACATCAACGATAATTGTTGCCGTCCCTTTTTATTACAGTGGAGTTAGTATTAAAGGAGCCAGATTACAAAACAGTCATCATAATTAAAATGTTGTATTTAAATTTAAAAAAAAAACAACAATCGATTCATTTTTGATTGATTGTTGATTATTTAAATATGTAGTTATGTTTATTGTAAAACAACTTGTAATACTTCTAATTGTAAATCTAACCATTCTCGAATCCACTTGAAGACGAAAAAAAATCAATCCAGCCGTTTAGTAGGATAAATATAAAATAATGTTTATATTATATAAAGATTATCGCAAGACTTAAATATAACAAGATAATTTCGAAACTTAAAGTAATACTTGAAGCTTATATCTAACAAAAATTGTATCCAATTATAATAAAATAAATATAATTGGTAAAATAAATCTGTACGTACTCTTAAAGAACATATGAAATGATATTCTATACATTATCTAAAGAACAGTGAAATGCTAGTTTAATTAAAATTAACAAAAAAATGAACGTCAAAAAATCTGCTGCTAAATTTACATTAACTGCCAGTTCAAGGTAAAATTAGTACTGGCCATAAACAATAATAATAAAAACAATTAGCTAATGTTAATGCCGCCAAGACCATAAATTGTAAAGCATTATCCATAAATTTAGAGGTTTATTAGGTCTCGTTACCATAAGATATTAAAAAAATAAAAAGAGGTTTATTGTTCTAATTTTAAAATTTGAAAGTATTAAATAATGTTTTATACAACAATTAAATATATTTTAAGAAATATGCTAGTTTCCGATCGGAAAATGAACCTCAGTGACATCTCACCGTTTATTAATGAACGAGTTTAGTAATAATCAAATGCCTTGTCATAGATAACACTCGAAGTGTCAATTTGTGTAGTAAATTCGCATTTTTGTGTTATTTTTGTAGATAACTGAATTGTTAAAGTTTTATTAGGAATGGTAATTTTGTGTTTGTTTCGCTAATTATTGAGTGTGTTATTTTTGTCAAACAACATTTCCCAAAATAAACTTAGATTATTAAAAACACATTCAATTTCTAAAGTAGAACGTAATACCGAAGCTATTTACATTCTAGAATTCATAAAAAAACCTTAAACGTTTTTATGGCTTATTCAACGAAATGTTGCAAAACTTTTTGAATGAAACGTAAATAAAATTGTTGAACAATACTCGCGCTTGTTTGACCTTGAACCCCTGACCGAGTTTACAGAGTTCAAGGCTAAACAAAACGGAGTAATTTAGTCGAAACAAATTTAGTTTTAAAAGCTCAACTACTTTATTAGGAATACAGATTTGTGCGGTTATTCTTATAGATATATTAAGTAATTAATTGTTTATTGTAGTATTTTATTTTTAAGCACGCATGCGTTGTAATTTTAGTAGCAATTGGTAGTAGTGTTGCCACTGTTATATTTAATAAATACATTTTAATTTTATTTTTGTTTTATTTTGCATGCACATGCTTTTTAGAGTAATGCACGCATGTTCTTTTTTTTGTTATCCAACTATACATTTTTGGGGCTTAGACATAAAATTGCGATAGGCGATACATGCCTACGTAATATGTACATAATTGTAAAGAAGTATGTTCGCCCATAGACTGTGAGGCACAGAAAGCTTATCAACTACTTGTGTATATATATCGATAAAGATATAGCTGTCTCTCTCTAACATCTAAACAGCGCTAAAAGCTTTGACAGCGGAGACTAGTAGTTGAAATAGTTGCCAGCTTGTAAAGCCATTATTACATAATTTAAAGTAAATGTAACGATATCGCGATAACATACTAACGTTAATGAGTAGACTAAACAAAAAAATTGTGCGTGTACTAGGTGTACACACGTAAGAAGTGAAACTTCTTTCTGATCTTATTTTTCGAAAAATGATCTACTATATGCAACTTTACAGAAATTCGTTAAATTAGATACAGTTTAACAAAAGGCTTTTATTATCATAGACATGAATACAAATATTTCATTTTACCTTATTACACGAAGATTTTATAGAATTTCATTAATTGTAATGAATTATTACTATCTTGAAAAACGTGACGATTTGCTACAAAATTTCTCCCAACGTGATAGAAGTTTCATTCCAAGCCGATAAAGAAGTTTGACTTCAAAAACAAATGGCGTAACCGAGTGACCAACAAAAAGTCACTAAATTTCCAACCAACAGTTTCACTTCAATAACTACTACACAATTGTACTTCCAAGCTCAAACTCAAAGTAACTTTATTCATATAGGTAACCAATTACACTTATAATCGTCAACAGAAAAGGTGTTAAATTGATTCTAAATTTACATTTACTACTAGTTCGCGAAACTCAAGGCCGTAGGGCGCCGGCAAGAAACTCTCCGCCACTCTTTTTAATCGCCAAGTTTTGATTAGTTTAACGAAAGCTTTGAATTCATTCAGTGATCATTCTATAATTTCGTTTGGGAGTTTGTTGTAAAAGCGAATACAATTTCCATATAAGGAGTGCTTTATCTTCTGGAGCCTGGTTGGTCGTACGTTTAAATTAGTTATGTTTCGAGTATTATATTGGTGTTATAAAATCCTTTATATTTTTTTGTACAACAAATTCTCACTAATGGTAGATATATTAAATAATATATATTTTTGTAACAGCTTTTTTAGAAAATAACTAAGTTAATTCTTATAAGTCGTTTCATTCCGATTGGAGATAATTACGACTTATCAATACAGACCCTTAATGAAGTGGGGAAAGTGGACTGGGGTTGCCAGAATTAGAGCCGGTTCTTTGTCAAATATGATAGTCTGGCTAATGAAAGAAGATAACGAAAAAGCGCGGCAAATTCAATTTTTTTTAGTATATCCCTAAAAGTTTGATATATTGTGTGGATTAAACTTACTTTTAACATTGATAGTAACTGTATTTCTATGAAATTAAATACTATACGTATTTAGTCTTTTACTATTGATACTTAAAATAACTAGCATTGCATGGAAAACTAAAACTATATTTATTAATTATAAAACACAACTTTATTTGTTCAAATCTTGCGAAAGAAACGAAATATTCTATCAAAAAAACAAAGTTTAGGCTATTATACCTGTTAACTATTCGGAAAAAATATATAATAGAAATAAAATTGAGTAATTGCATGAAGTATCAAGATTCAAGACAATAAATACATCATACAAACCTAAGAAATTCAAGGACATTCTGTGTTGCCATCCGAAAGTTTTCAAATAATTAAATTATCTTCTTTCATTAGCCAGACTCTAGACAACGATGTTTGATGTTTAATTTAAGAAAAGTGTTTGTTCAAAATACATATTTTTAATTTTATAAATTTTAACACGGCTGATTGTCACCTTTGATTCACTTTTTTGTTTCACTTGGCTTATGCTACACGCATTTTGAATTTGACACCTTTTTGCCAATTTCTAACCCAGTGTTTCCCAACATAGGGCCCATGCCCCATAATTTGATTCTTAAGTGGGGCTAGGGTTGAAGGACTCCTTTCTCCGCAATTAGACTCGAGGTTGGTCCGTTGTGCGTACGTTAAGTGGGGCTATTCGAAAATTAATTTATTCAATTTTAGATATTAAAAGTTATGTAAGGGGGATTAAGATTTATAAGAATTTTAGGAAGGCTAAGGTGGGTCATGGAGAGCAGTGTAGGCCTAGGGCTTCAGCGTGCGACTTTCACCCCTGACATCGTAGGTTCGATCCCCAGTTGTACACCAATGGACTTTCTTTTTATACGCATTTAACATTCGCTCGAACGGTGAAGGAAAACATCCTGAGAAAACTGACTTACCTTAGACCCAAAAAGTCGACGGCGTGTGACAGGAGACTGATCACCTATTTGCATATAAGACAAATGATCAGGATGAGAAATCTGAGGCCCAGACCTAAAAAGGTTGTAGCGCCACCGATTTATTTATTTTGTAAGGTCCCATGATAATAGTGCACGAGGTATGTACTCAGGGCTTAGTTTTAGGTATTAGCAGTTGCCCCCGCGTAGTTTCTCCTTAATGTAATTTTACTTTGCCTACCTTTTTAGTACATACCAACATGGAACATTTTGCTATGCGTTAGACACTGTTCGGCTTTCCGGAATGAAAACTTTTTAGGTTTTTCTGTGAATTTTTCTCAATATAAACCTCAGAGTTCAAGACATAAGATTTTAATTAACAAATAAAAAATAGGGGTTGATAGTAGAGGGGCGAAAATTAAGGGTTGTATGTATTTTTGTATTCTGTATCATAAAAAAATAAAAGCAATAAATTTTGTCTAAAAAATAAAATGTTTTTTTGGCGTGGACACCACTTATCACTTAGAGGTTTGAAAGAGATAGTAGCCGATTCTCAGACACACCGAATGTGCATAAACAAAATAAGAATCGGTCGAGCCGTTTCGGAGAGTATGGGAGCGAAGATTGTGACACGAGAATTTTATATATACTTATAGAGATATACTGGCAGACTCGGCCAAGCGTTGCTGTGGCTAAGGTTTTTGTTATATTACATAATAGTAAACTATTCAAGGGAAACGGTAGGAGAACACCAGTCATGGGGACCACCATGCTTTTTTGGTGGTTATGCCATTAAATTGTAGCGTATTTTTAAAATACATACCACCCCTAATTTTCACCCCTCTACGATCAACCCCTACTTTTTATTTTAGTAGATAGTTATTTTTATTGTACTAAAAAAGTTTCCTTGAAATAATATACATGGCAAAACAACGTTTGCCGGGTCGGCTAGTATCTATATAAGTTACTGTAAAAATAAAGGAAATAAATATATATCTTCAAACATTTTAGATGCAGAGCAATTTAGCTCAGAGTATGTTCCTGGCTGGTGGCCGAGGTGGTTACGCGGGTGCGGCCTTGCAGGGACCACTGGCGTACTTGGAGAAGACTGCGACCAATATAGGTATAAAGAAAAAAAATTAAAATTATACTTCTTTGCGCGTTTGGGAAATGATGAGAGTAAGTTTTTACGATGCGCGCACACCGTCACAAAAAACCGACACCCTGAAGTTAGCTATAGTCAACATTTTAGTGTTTTCTAATGTTAGTGTCTACAAACGTAGTTTAAATTTTTTGTAAAATATTTTTATCTTGTTACACCAAAGAACTAACGCGTGTATATAAGGACACACACACATTTTTAATTAGATACATAAAAACTAGTCATTTTATGTGTATAGTGTACCACCGACACAAAAGGCCCGTAGGGGGCTCCGACATCTCCTCCGACGGATCTGGATGATCCAATGACGATAGTTAACTAATTAAAAGCTGCCCAAAGCAAAGTCAAAATCAGATTAGGGTAAAAAACCGCCTTCACCGTGAAAGGCGTGTACCTTTACTTCGTACTTCGCTCACTCCTGTGAGCTTCCGTCCTGCCCTTCAGGCGATTGACCACCCCGCGACGGCCCAAGCCGTGGTCCTACTGTCTAGTCTCGCAGGAGACGCCCTTGCGCTAGTCGCGGAACAACGCTCATTCCGGCCGAGCTACGCTCGCCAAAACATCCCGAACTGAGCTGTATAGGCCCTTAAGGCCAACAGTGAGATTCCATAAAAATGTAACTACTAGATACAAATACGATCTCATTCATCTGGGGCACGGTGCGCTCTCCAAGTCGAACAAAAAAGCCGCACAGCCATCCTTTTCTCGAAGCAGTTAGGCCATTTTCAAACCCCTATAACCTTTTGGATAGCCTAGATAAAGCCTGAATTAACTATTTATAAACGTAATTAGTTAACATAGAGCAGTAGTAGCTTCAGCATGCGACTGTCATCTCTGAGATCGTAGAACCCTGGCTGTGCACCAATGGACTTTCTTTCTATGTGCGCATTTAACATTCGCTCGAACGGTGACGAAAAACATCGACAGGAAATCGACTTGCCTTAGACCCAAGTTGACTGCGTGTGTCAGACACGGAAAGCTGATCACCTACTTGCCTATTAAATTGACATTTTATGAAACATACTGCTGACTGTATCAACATTTAAATCTTTTTAGGATTTTATTTATAGATTAACTTGGTAGTCACATCTAATCTAATTTAATAAAACATGTATTACTTGTGAGGTACCTACATTGTTTCCATGCGATGGCATGCAATGTAATTTAAAGCATAGAAGATTTTAATGTTGATATGCTCATTAAGATATTTTTCTGTTAAATAATTACGTAATAACTAAGACAGAAGGTTGCCTAAGGACTGAATTAACGGACTGAAATGGATCTCAACTTTAGAAGAAGAACTGCGTTGCAAGTCAAGGTTTTTTGACAAGTTATGTGTTTTATATATATATATAAGGTGTCACCTTTCTTAAATAACGCAGACGAGAACGTAATGTTAACAACATTATTCATAAAAAAACATGTGTACTTATGTAGGTACACGCGTTAGAAGTTATACTTCTTTGGCGCAACAAGATACAAATCTTTTCAAACTTGTATCTTTCGCCTTATTCTAGAAAAATAGTTCGTTTGTAGAAAAAACGACACTAACAATATAAAAAACTAAAATGTTGACTATAGCTAACTTCAGGTTGTCAGGTTTATGTGACAGTGTGCGCGTGCATCATAAAAATTTACTCTCATCATTTTTCCCTAAAGCGCCAAAAGTATAACTTCAAAAATAAAACAGCTCACATGAATACATATGTCTCTTTTCATCATATCGTTAACAATGTCAGAAAGAGATGAAAGATGTCTTTGTTTAAAAGTGCATTATCTATATTTTTATGGTTGTATAGTAGGTTTTAGTCTACGTCGATTTCAGCGTTCATTTGTTGTAAATGAACGAATGATGAATGAATGAATGAATGATTTTGTGATAAATGTATTTTTCAGACATGGTGGGGCTGGGTGATGGGCGAAGGTGACGCGGTCGCGGGAGGGGAAGGGGGCGTGGACGTGGCAGAGGCAGAGGTAATATTTGACTCTTTCGTTCTTTATTCATTCATGATTTAACAGCAGTCCGACAACTTCACAGGATAATTAACCTATATATTTTTGTATCCCTTTTATTGCGTAGAGAGGTAAGGTCTCTGTGCATCTTCCATCGCATTTACTATGAATAGTATTCTGAGGAGTTGTTCGGATTATACCTGCAGCTGAATTTCATCATCGGACGTCGAAATCAAGGAAATTCCAACCGTATTACGACGTCCTTCCACAAAAATGTGGAACCAGCTATTGAAATATTTCCCAAGCAATTCCCCAAAGGGTCCTTCAAGCACATCTCTGCAAGAGGAATAAGAAGAGAATCTGAGAGCAGTTAAAAGTCTTTCGCGTGTTTCTGCAAGATCTCTTTTTTTATTAGAGTCAGTCATAAAAAAAGAGATGAATCCACATTAGTACCTATATATAATCCATATGCGCTCACTCACGCCGCGCTGGTGCGAACCGTGTGTTCAGTGTGAGAGGGCATTTCCAGCTGCTGGATACATAGCGACTGACATAAGATGCCGCTTTTCAGGTAGCACTCTCTTGGCGTCTTAAGAAGTTATTCAAATCAAAACATTCACGAGATTGTAATTCCTCATCCCACGAGATCTGGAATTGACGGCCTCGACTCGAGATTGCATTTTTTACTTGAATATGAGGCAAGATTCGTATCATTATTACTTTTTTACACAACAGGGGGCAAACGGGCAGGAAGCTCACCCTATGTGAGTGATACTGCCGCCCATGGACACTCACACTGCCAGGCTCGCAAGTACATTGTCGGCCTTTTAATTGCTGAATTTTTTCTTAACCATTGGATTCAAACTCAAAACTATCTTTATTCATATAGGTAAACAAGTAAACTTATGAATCATCAGAAAGAAGTAAAATTAATTGTAAATTAGAATTTTCTACCAGTTTGCAAGTCAAGGGGGTAGAGCGGGTAAGAAGAACTGGCAAGAAACTTTCCGCCACTCTTTTTAATCGCCAAGTATTGAGTCATACAAATTGTTTGAACATTTTTGAGTTTATTTTGATTCTTTTCAGGTCGCGGTGCATCCCCTGAATACGGTGGTAGCTTGACGCCTCCGTAGCCCTCCCTCCCCGCGGGGACCTCCCCCGCCTCTCACTCATTCGCTGATCTACTAGATTCACTCATGTCTTAACTATGCTAGTGTCAACACACTGACACTCAAAATACTTTGTGAAGTGGATTTCAGTACATAGGTGGAGACGGATATTTTATTTTAATATAAATGTCAAAGGCGTGATATTTACACCATTTATAATTCAAGAACGGCCGGACAAATTTTCATGATATAGTGTTTTTGAATATAAATATAATATTCATAATTCAAAGTCAATGTTCATTTGTTATAAATGGTATAAACACACTGACAGCTCCTGTAATCTATGGTTATAGTTTTGAAAATGACGTAATTTGAAATTGAACTGACCATTTGTTAAACTAAATTATTGTGAATTAATTTTAAAATCTTAAATCTGCGAATTCATCGACGTTACGAGCTTCGCCTAAACTTGTCTGCCTCCATTAGTAAATCAGTGAGTGACATAGAGTGAGTATATTTAGAGAATGCAGTGATATGTAAGACTCTCATAGTAATTACTCTATTAGACCAACAGATAATGAAACCTCCGAGTATCGGTATGTCTGTAAAGCTAGAAATTTTTATAGTGATAAGCCATGTTTGTAGTAGGTTAGCCACTAAGGATTTTGATTTAGGCCGCTAACTCACCGGAAGGCCATGGTGACGTCACCGGCTACGTAGGCATAACTACTCTTTACTAGCCAACTAGACTCGCCAGCAGCTACTAGTGTCAGTTCTCTCAGGTTTCCTATTGAGAATGGACGCTCTAACCATAGAAAGGGGAAGCGTTGGTCCTGGTTGCGCTTCCAAATTGGCGACGTTGCCAAGTGGGTTATTTGCTATACATTTCAATATAAATTGTTTGGTTACGTAGCAAGCGACGTTGCCATGGCATCCCGTTAAGTTAGCGGCCTTAGGTGTAAAAAGATACCAAAACATATAAAATTGTAATCGTTTGTCTTTTCAATAGTTCTGTAGATTAGGAGCGTGAGACAAAATCACTTTTCAAAAGGCGTGGCACTATGGTCACGTGACAATAGAGCGCTAATGTCATTTGACAGTCTGTTAGTGTTTGCTACGTCTGTTGAACAGGGATTTTGCTGAAGATTCAGCTCCCGTAGAAGAGTTTTATGAATTAACAATAAACTTAGCAATAATTTTTTAATTGATTAACCTACTTTATAATGATACATATAAGCATGAATGCTAATAATTATGATAGCTGTAGAGTTACTTAGTGTGTTGCACATACCTAGATGTTGCCATCGAACACGATAATTCAATCGAAATATAAGTCCATTACTTAGATAAACTCTTCCACGATGAGAAAGTCAACTGTGTTAATGTTCAGATGATTTTTAGTAAGTCTTCCCCGTAAGAGAAGTATTGTTTTGAGCCACTAGACAAGCGTGAGACCCTTCATACCCGTATTTCGCTGAAGGCGTTAGAAAACCGGCATGTTAATGAAAATCGATGACATGTGTCAGACACAGTACAGATCCACAGACCAGGCCGATCAACTTTTCTTTTTTTAATTTCTTAATCTCTCCGACGCTTGTGGTGCGAATCATTATTTTATTCACATACTTTGTTAAGAAAATTCGTAGGATTACTGTCGTAGCCACTTGTCCAATAATATTCCTAATATTCATAGGCTGCATTGCATTTTTATACATAAATATGTAGATATAGAAGTAATAATATTGTTATGTATGTTTAGTACACTATTATTAGCTCTAGTCTTTATCAGTTTCTAGCGTAATGTAAGTAATTTATTATTAACGAATTATAATGTGGATTACATTAATTATACATTCCCTACGAAAGATGTGAATGGCTGGGTTATTATAATCTGTCAGCTGTCAGCCTTGTAACTGAACATGTGGGTATACTTGATGAAAGTGGTCTAATCTCTAATCCGCAAGTATGGATGTAGCTATTAAGTATATTTCATCGTTATCGACAGAATAAATTAACTTTTGTCAAAAAATCCTATAAGCACTGTCGTTAGTATTTTAATCTGTAATTTATATCAAGCTTTTAAAAGTAAAGAATAACATTATACAAATAGTAATTATAATTCTATATTATAAGTAATATTATCTTTAAGCTAGTGTAGTCCTCGGGAAATAAGACTGAGAGGTGATTTTATCTGAGTCAAAGCACACTTTTTCTTAGCACGCAAAATCTGGTAGTTCATGCCGAAGCTTGAAAGAAATATAAATATAATCTGTATGGAATTATGGTTTTTATAGTCTATGTGGAAAAAGAGTTGTCGCCGCATTTGTTATATGAGGTCGCTGCAGTGCTAGATTATAATTTATATTTTAAGTTGACGATACTGTGATGTTCTTATAGTAATAATAATAATAATAAATAATCTTTATTTCTTCTCTCACATATACATACAAGGTTATTATGATTAAACTAAGATGATAACATTAGGAAGTGTATGTGAGAGACTGGTCTCTGTAACAGGAGACCTGAGTGACAGATAACCAGCCTCTTCACCACCGGATCGGAACACGTACAATCAGGTTATTGTCATAAGATACAATAGAAGAAAGTAAGTAAGTGCTAAAAGAAAACATTGCAAACGGAGTCGTAAAAATAAATTAGATGTGTGTATGTGTGCGTGCGTATAGTGCGACAGTATCGGAAAGTATATCATCATTTTTAACGCAGCAAATATGAGTGATATTAGTTTGATTTTTTTTTATGGCTCTGGCACGGTTTGTGCATTAGCCAGCGTCAAGTATGAGATTTTTATCATTCGTGCTTTTTGCCTTAGAAATTCGATCATATAGTCCATGTACGGTTTTGGCACTCGCCCGGTACCGCACAACCCTCCCAAAGGCCGAGAACAAATTTAAATTAAATCTTGCCCTCGAACCGGGAATCGAACCCGGTATCCCTCACCTAGCTGCCACTTAATAAGACCGCTAGGCTATGAGGCCCACATTAGTTTGAATTACCGCGACGCTGGTGATCTTTTAGCACAGACTATAAATGTCTATAAATTAAATAGCTATGTAATATGTATCTAATAGATTAAAGAAGGTAAATTCTTAAATTAATAAAAGTTAAACACTAATCTTTTCAAAGCTATATTTATATATAACTGTAGAATAACCAAATAAATGCATTATTAATTGAAACATTGTGTTATTGTAAATAAAGATCAATGATCACACGAAGTTTGTATCACCAAGGAGTTTTAATATTTATTTGAAAACGCGCCATTTCTCGTCACTGACATATTTAAATCCCTTCTAATCTGCGGCTGCGACAATTTTCGTGCCATTATTTTTTTATTACAATGAGTTTTTACAGCTTTTAATTTTGAAATAGTTTGAAACGGATGTCATTTATTATATAAGCATGCCATTTTTTCGTCTTCGGGAAGCAGTTTTGTGATGGGGAAGAGAGACGCAGAAATATATCTGTCTTAACTAAACGTAAGTATATTTGACATTAGTATTTAGAGTCAAATGCAAGACAGATATCAGACCAACTAAATCTTTTTGGCGGGAAATAATAAAAAACATGAACATAAAATCATTTATTTTCAAAACAGATAATATTTTACGCTTAAATCTACTTCGTAAATGCTAAATTTCCGACCAATTAACATAATGCAGCCGTACTCAGAGTCGTACGTTTAGACTTTACGGAATAAATACTTCGCCGTATCTTTTTCTATTTTATAGGGGAAAGATTAATATTATTGTGTTCGATATAAAAAAATCGAAAACTCCATTGTTTATTAACATTTTATAGTATAATTTATATTAAGAAATCAATAATAACATAATATAACACATAAG